GTGCGTGCTTCAAGAGTGAGAAATCTCTCTAACACCAGTTGCTGATGCACCTGACTTACTCGAGAAGTTGCAGAGAAACAGACCGCCTCTTCGTCACCTGTTTGGTAAGAAATCACCACCCTATAGCTAATTACTGGACTTCGACTGGGTTTGGGCTCACTTGATGTTGAACACTTGTAGTAAATAAAGCCTCTCTCTCACTCATTGAACAAGGTGCCATGTCAATCCCTGGGCTAGTCCGGAATCCTAGGTTTTTATTTGCTAACACCAGGTACAGAAGATGAACATGGTACAGCTGCATCAATATACCAAAAGTGGTTGTACAGGTCATATGCAGTGCTCATAGAAGGACATAGTTGAGTCCTTTCTAGTTGCTGACATCAAGTTATTCTTAAAACGTATTAAGTATATAAAAGGATACATTTAGTATACACATTGCAGAAACTCTTTATTACTCCATCTGACCAAAGAATACCAGAAGCAAACATTTTCTCAGCAATAGCCTAATGAAAGAGTCATGCACAACATTATTCCATAAATACTTTTATTTATGCAATCTAAAATTGACATATCCAAAAAGTTATATTCAGTTAATCATACAACTCATTGGTTAAAAAAAAACATACTTAATACTTCTTAGATTTCAGGTAGGCATTACTCTGAAGCCAAGATATTTTTTGAGAGGCACAGTATATACATCCTAAAGTACTATACAATTTAAAAGACAAGACAAAACAGCAATCTTGAGAAAAGCTTCAAAGTTTTGACCTGAGGCTATAGAACAAGGAAAGCTATATAGTAATGTGTTTGGTGTCTGATCATGAAAAATGTTGTAGACAAGAATAAACACTGAAAGAAGCGTGGTGTGTTTTGTGGGGTGCAAGAAAAGGAGCAAGAAGAAACCTCGACACACAACTGGAAGCCAGGACAAATAACGGAAAATAGGAATGCTGCAGACACATCTAACTAGACACTTAGTTTTGGATCTGCAGGAAGGCAGACATGAGAAGTATGACAACAGTTAAGCCTATTTGTAATGGTGGGAGAGAAGAAATCTGCAACACTAAACCACAGGAAGGAGCAAGCTAATTTGTGAACATTTGAGGTCATGCAAAAGTTTTCCATGTGATGGCAGCAATATACCGTGGACCTCACCAGTCCGTGCTGAAGCTTTCCCCACATGGGAATGGAGTGAGGCCTCATTAAAGCAGAAGGCCAAATCTTATGTTAGCAAAACTTAAAAACAAACTATGTCTAGGCTGGGCCTAGGACAACAGTAAGTCTTCGTAGAATGTAGACATAATTAGATTTAGAAGAATGAAACTTAACTATGTGCACCTGCATAAAAACCCAGGAAATGGATCAAAGAGGAAAAAGACGACAAATATATATCCAATACAAGAAGTGATTTTTGTGCTCATATGGTTACTTGTAACAACACACATAATGTTCATAGCAGGCAAGCACTCTTTAGCCTTTTTATTTTATAAAAATGCTCAGAATATGCAACAGGAAGTGAGCTTGATGTCAACCTCTTATACTATGTACACAAGTAGTATCTGGGTGCTAAAAGTTCATAATATCAGAGGGGGAAAAACAAACAAACACTTCACCGCTGATGTCCTTCCTTAAACTATAGTCTCACCAGAGACTGACCATTCTTCCTGACTATGACCTCAAATAAGAATTCAATTTAGATCTTTAGTCAGCTTGACTGTGGTTCTCCTACTCTACCAGATACTGTTTGGTATTTTATGTATAAGACTACTGATCTAAATCATGCAGGTGTCTTTAAAAATATAAAAAACAAGAATAAGATTCCTGCCCTGAACAGCTTACAAAAACTCCTTGCTTTGAACAGCTTATACAGTAAAATTTTCTCATTCCTACCTTGCCCTTAAAAGATGCTTTAAATCAGAGGCGGGCAATTATTTTGGGCAGAGGGCCACTTACTGAGTCTTGGCAAGCCACTGAGGGCCGCATGACAGGCAGCCAGGGGCAGATTAATATTAATTTTCTAAATTTTTTAGGGGCCCCATGGGCTGGATAGAATGTCCTGGTGGGCCGCATGTGGCCCGCGGGCCGCATTTTGCCCACCACTGCTTTAAACGGATGGATTTCAAAAAGAAAAAAAAGTGCACGGAAATTGTTCCAATACATAGGACATTTTAGACAGATAAAATTTCAGATTTATAATGCTGGAAGGGCTCTCAAGAGCATTCAAGTCCAGCTTCCTGCACAGATGCAGGATTCACTACTGTTAACCAATTCCAACTCCTTGAAAATCTCCAGTAAAGGAGACTCCACAACTTCCCTAGGCAGCTTGTTCCACTGCTCGCACAGTTAGAAAGTTTGTTCTGAGACTTTATCTAGGCCTGCTTTACTGCTGTTTAAACTCATTGCTTTCTGTCCTTCACTCTGCAGCAAGGCAAGCCAATTACCCCCCCCATCTTCTTTATGACCATCTTCAAAATATTTAGAAATTGCTTCCATGTACACTATTAATCTCCCCTTTCCCCTGCAAACTAGACAGATTTATTTCCTGCAACGTTTCATCATATGCACTACATTCCAGCCCTTTTATCATCCTAGTTGCTCTCTTCTAAACCCTCTCCAGTTTCTTCACATTCCTCACAAAGTGGGATGCCTAAAATTAGGCAATACTCCAACTAAGGTAAACAAAATCTGTATTTTGTCCTATAAATATTTTCTCTTCAAAAAAAGTAACGTGACTCCAGGGAGATGGTTCTCCAGCTCCCTAACCCCGCTCAGAATCCACAATATATTTTTGCACCCCCAGAATTCTCCTAATCCCAGTCCCTCCCCCAAATACAAAAGTTAAGCCTTTGCCAAAAAAAAAGTCATATACATATCTAAATTTCTGTTCTGCCCACTCCTGATACTATTTCTTTCATGTGCTGAGGCTTCTGCAACTTTTCCAGTCTTCTGGAGAACTTGAAGAAATTATGAGGTTTTTTTAAGATCCCTCCAGGGACCCCACCATCCCTCAGCTACCTGTTTCCAAGTTCCCATCACAAACTCCTCTGGATGTGAGGTTTGGCATCCAAGATTTGTATTTGGACCACATATTTTGGTTCATGAGGAACATTTTTATAATGACCTTTTGTGATGATGAAACATGCATGATTGATAGCTGTAGGATTTAATTTCTGTATGTATTTGACAAGAGTCAAGAGTGCCATGCTGCCCAATCAACATGACCCAATACCAAGCAGGAGATACCACTGTTACAGACAGAATCTCAGTTAATTTTTATACTTTCTGATGTGAATGTCCACAAGATTGTGATTGGGACTTTGGTCCACTGGAAACTAAAGCAAGATCATTAAACTGATTTCACTGAACAGACTTCAGAAAAAAAAATAACTACTCTGGCACTATTAACTTAGACTGGATTTGAACTTGTGATCTAGAGGTAAAAGGTCACAACTCCAAAACAACAAAGAAATCTTCCATGTGGTTCCCCTAATGGGTTCCAGCAGCATTCTGAGTATTCAAGTTTTTCTCCACTCCCTCTGTATTTATCAGTTGACAAAAAGCCTGATAAAGTTGTTTTCCCCCACCCTCCCATGTCACATACCTCCCCCCACCTCAAACAGTAACATTTATCTCCAAGTCTATTGGCACAAAGAACCACCACTCAATCAGTGCCAACTGCAAGGTTATTTTGTACTGTGGAATCCTATACATGTAATAAGTGCCCCAATAATAAGCTTATCTAAGACTTACATTTTTTCATTGACATTTGTGATGTAGACTTGTTCTTTGAAAACTGAAACAAGTGCAACAGATCTACGACAAGTGCTCAGCCCTCAGAGCAACGTCCTCCAGTTCCTGGGCTGTCACTCCCCTGCTGCCAAACTTTGTACGAATGGGGAGCTCTGTGAATTGGACAGCATGGCCCTGCATTAGGTATACAGGGCAGTGTGAGGCCCAATTCCAGCATGGTGTGAGACCCAGTTATAGCTAATTGACTGGCCCTGTGCCACTCATCTGGCCTGTGGGGCCAAAAGATTGAATACCATTACAATATGATGGTATCATGGTTTGGCTTGGCTAGGCTATCCCAAGCATGCTACATCTACCCATTCCTACAGGCAGTCGTAACCAAGAAGTACACCAGTGAAGACGCTTCAGATCCATCTCCACAGGCTGCTCTTGAGAGTCAATTCTCATGTATAATGACAAGCCCAAGGTGGTCCCACTGTTGTACTTCCAGGCTTGTAGAGTGTTCATGGTTGCAAATGGGCAGGATAAGCTAAGGAAGAGCCTAGTCAGGACAGGCTACTACTGTGGTATAGACCACCCCACAGATTTTAAGGCCAGAGGAGACCTCCTGAATAACACAGGACAAAATCTCCTACTGTAATTTCTGCATCAAACCCATAACTTATCTAAGCTTTTATAGCAAACCTTTTAGAAAGACATCCAGTCGTGACTTAAAGACTTCAAGGTGGTGGACTATCCATCACATCAGTATGGAGCGGTCTACTGGTTAGAGTGCAAAAGATATTCCATATTCCAGACCTAGTTTCAATGTCAGAAATAAAAGTCAGTTTTCAATATCAGCTTCTTCCATGATCCTAAAATGGTCTTAATTCTAATCTTCCTTAAAGAGATGCGGTATGGCTTAATTAGGTATTCAGAAAAATACCTGGGGAATCCTATGATGAAAAGTGCTAGAAGAGCAGATACAATTTTTACTGCCTTTCATTACAGAATGAAGCAACACCATTCAATTTGAAAAAAAAGTCAGCATAAATCCTGTTAAAGTAGTCTAAGATTTTTGGTGCACTGTGTCCCCACATGTGCGTGTGTTACTTTTAAAAAAGCTATACTTTTTAACATTTTTTAAACAAAAGTATAGAATTCTGATGGCAAGTTAAGGATGAATCAATATATACTCTGATTTCTTGTACATAATTGTGTTTTTTTGGACTCATTAAAAAAAATGTGCATTATATTCTTCTGGTCTTATATTGCTTCTATGCTAACAGCCAGCTGTTTCAGTATTATATCCTCTTCTTTTGGATTGTTTCACCATTCAGCTTTCCAGATTGTCCATTTTTCACTTTTGCGTGTGGAAAGTTCCAGTCAGTCGGACTGACAACCTGCATAGTCTTTTTGTACGTCCAGTATGGGTTAAGAATTATTGACACAGAAGCTAATCCCAGGAATAAGACAATAAAATACAGAAGTCCAAGATTTTCCACCACATCATTCCAATTGGAAATACACACCCACCACATGTGATAAGTAAGCATCATACGGCAGTGAAACAGATGGATCATGAGCCACTGGTTTGCCTTCCAGAAAATGGTATGAGAATAGCCAGCCTGGAAAACAGAGACAAGTAATGAGATTGCTGCTTCAATACAACAATGCACATGGCCTTTATAAGTCAGTAGCACAGGTGTAATTACCAGGGTCCTTGCCCTAGGTGGCAGAAGCAGCAGCAGGGGCTGGGGTGGCAGTGGCAGCAGGTGAGCTGGCAGAAACTGCCATTCTTGAACTCCTTGAAAGTGGACACTTGGAGCTGGTGCTCCAGTCACCCACTGCTTGTTACATAACTGAACAGAAGTTCAGCCTTCTGCTGCTGTAAAGCAGGTGTGGTCAACCTGAAGCATGCAGGCCACAAGTAGCATGGGCAACTGCTGTTTGTGGCAGGCAAGCCTCAGACACCCAGCAAAGACAGGAGCTGAAATACAGGCGGGGGGAGGGTGAAGTCTCTGGCCCTGTAGTACGGCAGGACCGCTGCTGTGAGAAGATGTCAGGTATCTCTACCAAGAACCAAATTAAACCTTCCCTGGCCCCACAAGTGCTACAGTTTTATACATCCACTGAGCACTGAAACTCTAGCAGTTTCAGGACCAGAAAAGGGTCAAACTGGCTCTTGGCAATGACACCTCTCTTACAGCACTGTCCTGCCCCTGCTCGGGTCTGAGCTGCACCTCAGTCCCTCACCAATCCTGTCCAATCCAGCACCCCAAAGCCTGAAATCTCTCGGGTATAAAAGTGCAATGGGGACAAGTTCCAGCAGCACTCAGGGAATGGGTGAGATTTAACTTGCTACACTCCTGCCAATACTGTAAACTGCTACTCTCTCCAGCGGTTTTCTATGGCGTCCTATACAATGACACTTTATAGCATCCTTGTCCAGAAGAATGCGAAACTACTTCCCAGAATTTACAGGTACAGCAGCATCTACATGCAGTCACCTGTTGGGTAGAAGAAAATGACCGCAACAAAGCACAGGTCATGGCAGCATTAGAGTTAGCACAGGATGGGAAATTTAAGCTAAACACACTGATTTAAGTCTGAGTCCGGAGATTTAAAACCACTAAGACATACTCACTTGGAACTGATTATTGATCAGAAGGTAGGATTAATTTCTCTTCCAACAAGCAACACACACCCCTCACACATGCATGACTGACTGACTTGTACACACATGCATATGGGAGCACACACATCCGACTCTCCAGCAGTAGTTTATATTTATTTTGGGTTTGTCAGAGCTGATGACTCATTCCCACTTCCTATTTTCAAGACGGGGTTTTGAATACACCCCCCCCACCCACACACACACACACACACACACACACACACACACACACACACACACAACACACACGATGGGTCACTTAAAATTTTTGGTGCTCTATCTAGGAAACTATTTATTTATTTATTTATTTTGCGGGGGGGAGAAATTGATTCCTGACACTAAAAGCCAGTTTCCACCCCTCCCCACCCCCAACCAAGAAGGCATAGACAGATTTAGGTGTTTCAAAATTGCTATCTGCTCTGCAGCCACCTAACCCTGTAAGTGCCTAAAGATGCCTCACAAGATGCCTCTCCGTTCAATTGGAAAATTCCCAAGGTACCTGTTGTTAGAGCTATAGACATGTTTAGAACTGTCCTCATCTGAGAAGCCTTGGCACCTAGATCCCACCTAAGCCCTGCCAGAATACAGAAAATGAGTGAATTGTCCTAAAATTCCTTAGGAAACTAACACAGTGACAGCTTTGGGCCCCTTACAAAATGCAGTTGTAGGTGCTTTATTTTTAAAACTGGGCCAGAAGGGCTGAAAATGGTGGCATCTAACTTCTATATAATAGGCCGACAGTTGCAGCACTAAGTCTGTAGACAGGAAACTGGGTTATACTTCCTCCTCAGTCTGACAAGATGCAAACCCACACTGCTCACCTCCTTGTAAACTAATACCTCTAGACCATAGGCATGCAAGGGGAGGAAGGGCCTCTCCTTCATCCTG